TAATTAACCCTTTGACACTGTACTGCTGCAATGAACCTAAAAGGATTACCTACTTTCAAAAATTCAAACCAATAGATTTCGCCTTTTCTGTGCCACATAGTTCACTCTAAGTGATGCCTTTCTTATAGGTGTATAAATTGGGAGCACAAACCATGTCAACTTCAATGAATCCCCTAGAGACTTAGTTTCTAAGTTGCACTTTTTACAAACTTATCTCCCGTATAGCTGACATCATATACCAGGATGTGTTCTAGAATAACTACAGTTATTTGCTACAAACCTGTAAGGTCTGCTAAGCATATAGCCATTTATTATGAAAACCCTCCTGTAACGAGTTTACGCCACTACGTCACTGTGAATTAGGCTGGGTGACATTTTAAAATGGTGATTGTTTATCACGGATGGACGAAACATTTTGTCTCAGAAAGCAGGCAAGCTGTTACAGCTACGGCTCTGTTTTCAAACATCTAATGGTGGATACTGTCAGCTTTCCCACTGGAACCTATGCACTTAGTGTACATAGGTGTAGTCAGTAAACTTATGAGCATACGGGATGAACTGACTGTTAGACGTCTACGTTCGATAAATGGTTGGATATAAAGTACTAGTGGCGACGACCAAATGCCTTGCAAGGAAAAAACAGTGAATGAACTATCTTGTTGCGTTTGGGCATGACAATTAGGTGGATGATTTGAGGTTTTTGGGTAGAATATGTACGTTTAAATGCACTTCCTTGAAAGTGTAGCGGTAAATAATTCCCCAAAATTATTGGCCACAGCAATCACTCATTGGATGCTGACCACCACTGTTTAAGTCGACTTGTTTAGCTGAAGGCTTCCGGTCAAGCATCCCCGCCATTTGGTACCTCGTCGTGTCACGTGCACGATCACTAGCTAGCTAAGCGTTCGTCTAACGGCTTGTTTTAGCTTCTAAATATATCGCTTGGTTTGGACGATCAATTATTGGCTTTTGCTTTGTCTTTGGTACGCGAGAATAAATTAATTAGAAGTTGTTGAACGAGATACCACGTCAAACCTTTAATATCCGTCAACCTTTAAAAAAGTTTTACGTCCACTTTTTCAGAAACTACCCGAAAAACGCCTCAAAATTTTTCACTTGGGTTAATTTTTCTGTTTTTTTAAGACAGTCCGCCGTCACTTTGAACTGATTGTCAGGAAGTCGAATTTCACCATAAATGTAGCCCTACTGCGGAAGTGGGTTTTGTTATGTTACTCCTAGAATAGGTGGCCACATAAATTTATGAAACCGTTTTATATCTAGTTTTAATAATAATAATATATATTCTCATTTTTACATGAGAGACGCCAGTTTACAGGCGTCGTCAATTCGATAAGTTACACATAAGATTAATAAGCATATTTAGTAGAGATAATATAATAAGGTACATTTTTTCCTAGCTATGTAGGATACACCAATTGTATAGGCATGTATAAATATTGTTTTAATAATAATATATTTCTCCCTGTTTATGCAGGAACATACCTATTGTACAGGCATGGATAAGTTATTATATAAATTACACATAATTTGATGTATAATGGATTTACAGTTTGGTTGTTCTTTCTGACAATAGGGTCAGTCGGAACAGTCTGCTATAAAGTCTGTTTGTGTAGCACATAAAGAGATATAGAAATATTGTCTTCGCATTAACGAAAAACCCAGACATCAGATGAATGTAATACAGGTATCTGGGAAAAATAAAGCCTGAAGTCAGTTCTCCTATATAACTTTGTTGTGAACAACACCCTTGGCTTAAAGTTTATTGATGTATTCTGTTGAGATCAGTGATATATTTATTCCATTTTTCAGCAGTCTTATCGTAGTTTTATAACAGGAAAGAAATTTGATCGTGGATGCGGAAACTAGATAAGGTCATGTTAAGTTGTTTTACTGCATCAAATGGTGCTGAGGTCGATTCCAGAATTCTCCATTTGAGCCATTTGTGTCTGCATGGCGGACTGTACTCGTAAGTTGAGTAAAATGTTGAAAACTGTTTGAAAACCAGTTGCTTCTTCATTTCAGATCATGAATACTCATTTACAACATGTTCGCCAGCGTCTTCAAATGGTAGAATTGGATCGTTCCTGGAATTTGAGTGATTATGGGATAAATGGTTTGGAATGAAACATAGCAGTTAGAATACAGTTAAACATGCAGAGAAGTACTTTTGATTCAGCAACCGGTGAATTTTTTATTCTTTTCGATCTGGTACCAGCATAACCACGGATCATTCCATTCAATATGTCGAATAAGGCATGCAGGAGCAGATCATTATCATCGAATGAATCAACTTGATCTGAGATGCAGCTTTCAGCATGTTTTCGTTATATCATAGATATCCAGGTTTATTGGCGCTGTATAGGCAGTGATTTGGAATATGACGTATTCCTCAGAGAGTCTCCGTGTCCATGTAAAGTATACTTATGCTTTGAATGGATTACTTCGTTGGCTCCTACCCCCACTGAGTGTTTACAACAGCAGCTGTCGATTTATGTATTTCCTCGCCATTTTGGATAAAACATCGCCACATTCTTTTTGTGAAGGAGACCAGTTGGTGGATTATGAATGACGTTCAAGTAACTTTTACCTTTTCATGTGGTGTTGCGGTAAGTTTCGACCTTGTTTTCTCATATTTCATTCGTATGTTGGTTATGGTTCACCCTTTGTATCAGGTAGACATAGTTCGATCGACTCTTAACTGAATGGGTGTCATTGTCATGGCTGCTTCTTTTTTGTCTGGAATTATAAATAGAGGCAAAACAAACAACAGGTGTAGTTTCTAAGTTCATACATTAAATGGGCCTATGATTTCCGAAACTCTTACATGGGAATTAGCACTGGTATCAATTACAAACTCACTTAGCGTGTCATTAAGCGCCTTTTCAAAGGAGGCCAATGTGCTTGCTAGTCGCATTTCCTCAGGTAGTTTGTTCTATATTTGGGCATACCTAATCAAGAAAAACTTTTGCCTGGTGGCTGTTTTACATGGTTCTATAGCCACTGTACCTTTAGTGTGTCTAAGGTTATATCCTGTGTCTCCTGAGAACCGAGTATAGTTAGCAGGGGTTTTCTGCTTGATTTTCGAGAGTTCAAGTAAAAAAGCCATGAAGAGTGAATGTTTCAAGAGACCAAAGATCTATGACCTCAAGATGCCCGGTTCGCGATTTTCCATAGTTTCTGAATATCTTCTGCACCTGAATACATCCCTAAGCAGGATTAAGTGCTACAATTTACTGTCATTCGTTGAAAGGTGTTACGGAGACCCCGGTCCCAAAGCTGAGGTAGTTTAGGTAATCACTCAGCCAACTATGTCGCCGAGAGATAGTTCTGTAGGGATGTTGAGTCGAATCGCAGTTGTAGAAATGTTTTTTAGTTGAAGTCAGCGAGCAAATGAGCCCACAAATCTTGACGTTATGCACGTAACTAGACTAAACTATCTTACCAGACGAGGTGAAAAAACGGGTGCATCACAACGACTCAAATGATCCACAGAATGGATCAAACCAAGAAAAGATGAAATTAACTTATTCGTTTGAATAACTAGTAGCTGATCATTTATTTTATGACACGTGTCTTTACACAAGGACAATGTAAGTTACTGGATGAATAACGCAAAATTTAACCAATCCCCTATCAAGCATAGCGTTGCATCTAATCATGTGATATCAAAAACACTGTCAGCCAAGTCTCATAAACTGTCAATGTCCAGCTCTTATTGCGCTGGACCTCACGCTGTCCAACGAAGACTTTTAGAAACACTTTGTATTAACCGACGCGAAAACCGCAACACTGATTGGCGACTCAAGAATCCTTTATTCTTACGCCAACATATAAGCAACAATCAGGTTATTACACAAGGTCTAGGAATAAATGTTATAAAAATAAATCACGATAATCCTTCTGGTAGTTTTTAATCTTCCTCTGAACGGCAAACGATGAGACGATGACTGTTGGATTGATAAGCCGCGAAAAATTTGGAGGGGTTGGGTTTGAGCAAACAACCACGAATTGATCGTCCAATCTTCAACTATATTGACACTCCCCACCATGGCAAAAAACAGATCCAACCCTTTTTTCCATCACGACCAATACACGTTGACTTGGATGCCAGTGCGAGAGCCTGGATCACACGGACAGAGCTGAAATGGAAAACAAACAGAAAAGCCAACACACCACAGGCATACCCACACCACAATCTCGCACATCGATGACGACCTACGCCTCCAGATAGAGACCCCCTCTTGACATCTTGCAACACAATCGCCACTTGCTAGAATGACTCTTGCAGAACGCAACGTAACCATAGCACCACCTCATGATACTCTACGCACATCCTCTTATCTACCCACTACCAATTACCACTGCAATCGCTCGCCACTCATTCTGCCTTAGTTCTAGTAACGGTGATGTATGCAAGCCTTAGTCGTCTACACTCCCGCTCCCCGGCGTGTGGGACCACAGCTGACAATTATCTCCGTATGCATGTCATTCTCAGCAATAGCCTCCCTGGCGTTTACGACCCATCTGCTGTCTTTAGCATCAATCAATCCATTCACAGATGTAGAAGACAAGAAACAACTTCAGAAGTAATCACGACGAAAATTTTAACAAAATTATGCAATAACAACAAGATACGAAAACAACGAGTAAACACAATGAATCCAAAAACACCAATTGATATGACACACCACAAGTATATACAAACAGTACAAATAACCTCGCCGATCGTGTCTCGATGCAATTCCTTTGAAGAATCGCGGGACTTACACCAGTACGTCTGCAACCCTTCTCAGGTTGACGCCCTAGGTTGAGAAATCGTCGCAGAGTTTATCTGCTGACCTCCTTCCAACATCTATATCCTCAACTCTGAACGGTGACACGCCCATGTCATTGTATTGTAGAATATAGATGACTAACAAACACATGACGTATCTGACCAACCAAGCGTAGGCACAGAGTAATTTACGCCAATGATAATAACATTCAAATAGTAACTTGAAACTTGAAATGCCTTTATTCGTGCAAGCCAGTTTAACAATTGCCCTCTCATACACAGTTGGCTTATCACCACTAAACTGACCGTTGACTTTCGTCTTTTCAAACGGGCAGACACTAGCATAGTCATAGCATAAGACACGTGAGTTCACGGACGTCTCTCTCATTGTGGATGACAACACCAACGACGACTGAGTGACACAAGTTGATGAACTCAGCTGTGCATCAGAAGCTGTTGATTCTCGGCTTTAGAGGTTTTTCTAACTGCAAGATTACCACCTCTGCTGTTTTTTGTTATTAGATCCAGTTCAGCATCAACATCTGTCGATATGTGGGCTACACGCTGATCATTTACACTGACGGTCTCACGAGTATTCATACCTTCTACCACCGCTTCTGCTCTTAATTCTACTTCACGTTCAAGTTGTACAGAACCTTTGTTCAACTCAGTAGTAGTAGGCATTCCGCTCACCTCATCATGATTAACCAAAGGGAAAAGTGCACTATCACGATCATTATCATATATATTTACTTTACCACCATTTGTGTGATGTGTCATCTGTGACGCCCCATTCAACAATGGCTTACCACTTGCAACTACAGGCTTCTTCACCGCACCATTATCGTCACAAAATTCGGAGTCAGACCTTGATTTCACATTTAGCTTATCACTAAACCTGGTCACTGATTCACAGTTCACCTTTGTATGCACTTCTTGCGAACGTTTAAAACACAACCGTGTTTGTCTTGCAGCTTTTAACCTATCTGTTGGCGACGTCCCAAGAAAGCTGTTACACTCACTAAGTTTATATGGATTACTAGACACCACAAAGATTTCTCGATATTCGCTTCTCTGAGACCCTTTCATCATCAATGATTGTGTTTTGCCTTCAGGCTGCTCTATTCCAGGGGTGGGATGCAATATACTGGCAATCTTGCTCAAAGCTTGATTGACAGTATCGTTTACCAGTTTCAGAATATCATCAAACTTTGGCTCAATACCTTCATCCTCTATACTAGAGCTTATATTCACCAGCTTCCTTTGTAGTCGAGTAGGTAGGCGTTTCGCGATTACCTCTAGGACTGAACTTGAGTTCAGATCGCTCGTGCAATTCATCGAAATCAACGCATTCATGTAATTCATCAGATTATCAAAAAACTCAGAGGATGCGGTGTCATCTTGTAATTGACTATCATTACTGCAGTAATTTATTGTACTTGAAATATTAATATACCGGGATGACGGAATTATAGGAATCTAATCAAAACCCAGAGAGGGCAGCAATCAGTAATTTGTATTTAGCGGAATTAGAATGCAATTCATATAAGAAACATATCAACAGTCAACAGTAAGTATTTAAACAATACAGAGATAGAAATTGTCAATCACCACATCCGCCACACCTCGAATATCTCCTCGCGTATTTATAACGATGTCTCGGTTTGCTTGCAAGTAGCTTCGAGCTAACTGATTCTGTGATATTATTTTCATCAGTACTATCTGGACTTATTTCTGAATTATCTACAAAATCAGGATTATTAGCGGAATCAATAATATTATAATTGGAACGACCTACTTCATTTATTGTCACTTTGTCCAGGTGTCCGTTATGAACTGAGTGATCTTTGATGTCTAATATCTTCACCACTCGATTTCCCATTTTTTGTAGTATAATTCCAACAGAAGGTCTGTAGTTATTATCTTTGTAATAATGTACATTAGAAGTAGTGGACATCAGATGCTTTTTGAGAATTCGAGATTTGAATAGTTTTGCAGGACTTTCACAAGAACTTGTATGCTCTGGATTCACCAGACGTAGTCTATGCATATGCAGTAATTCCTCAATTTTATTCAGTTGCTCTCTCATCTCATTCAGGTCTTTTCGTGCTTTCGACAGTTCACATTGCAACTTAGCTACCTCATTTTTGAATACAGTTGATACTTGCGTTGCTGAACTTGCAGTGGAGGTTTTCGTTGGATTAGCTTGAGTATTTTGAAAAGTTGAAAGACACATAGACTCCATTTTACTAGACAGCTTGGGAGAATTATAAGAATGTTGAGCAACATAAGTACTCGAACTCCTGCAAACCGTCTTGATGTGTCCAACTTTACCACATTTATAGCACTTAGCACTCCGAAAACGGCAAGTGCTTCGTAGATGTAACTTTCCACAGGATAAACACGGTTTAATGTTTTTGATCTCTGGCTGCATTCTATTACCTGTGGACGGCAGTTTGGATTTCTTTCCATGAACACTTGTATTTTCGACTTTGGACAGCATAACATCAGATACTGACGTAGTGGGAGCAGAGTATTCATTATGGACATCTTCATATGTAATACATACCTCTTTAGCAGTTTGAAACGTACAAGAAGGAATCTGAATTAACTCTTTCTCTAATTTAGGAATGTTGATTCCAGCAATTAGACGATCACGTAGTTGTGTATGCAGCTGATCTCCAAAATTACACTTTGAGGCTTGAATTTGGAGTTGTAGTATAAAGTCTCTTATCTTCTGATTGGGAGAACGTACCAGTTTGTTGAACTGAGCCCTCTCTCTGGTCTCAAAAGTAGTTACATGGAAGTGATCTATAAGAAGTTCACGGAGCTTAGCATATGGCATAGAAATGGGTTTATCTGGAAACGCCAGATTCTTCACCAGGCTATATGCATCAAGACCAATAGCGGTGATGAAATGAGCAGGTATTTTATCATCCCGAACATTCTTGGAAATGCACCACGCATCAAAGCATTCCAAATAATCAGCAATCTCCCGCGGAGAACCATTAAGGGGAAATTTTCCCAGGTTACTTAGCTCCATCGCGACGCCAATTTGTAGTAATTTATTGTACTTGAAATATTAATATACCGGGATGACGGAATTATAGGAATCTAATCAAAACCCAGAGAGGGCAGCAATCAGTAATTTGTATTTAGCGGAATTAGAATGCAATTCATATAAGAAACATATCAACAGTCAACAGTAAGTATTTAAACAATACAGAGATAGAAATTGTCAATCACCACAATTACCTTTAACAGCCTCAAATACGTTCCTTACAATCATCGAAGGTCTTCCGAATCTTTGACGCAGGATATGCATCGCCTCAGTATATCCTTTGTTCGGGTTCATAAACTTACAGCACTGTATAGCTCTTGAGGCAATACCAGTGCAGTGCCTCATCAAATACATCAGCTTCATTTCATCATTTAATAAAATACTACTCAACATGATTTCAAACTCCTTTACAAACTGTAAATAGTCAGCTGGGTTGATGGAAGAAGATAAGCAATTAGTAAACCTGACTCCTGGTATTCTTATTTCAGATTGGAGTGTGATATGATAAACCGTGTCATTTGCATGTGCCACTCTCTATTAATAATACAGAACTATCACAAACAATATACGAACAGATAGTAAAGAAATTTTCGACGTACTTCCAAAATGCTTTCTCCTCACACTGGATTTATATGTTAAGTAAGGTATATTATATAGTATACCCTTGTTGCATATGAACAAATAACTAATTCCGTACATCTCTCTTCATTTCCTGAAAGTACCGAACGGCATTTCATTGAAAGCTGACTAAGGAGCGATTATATGGCACACCCCTTATTTGAGGTGGCGCCTCCAGCTTTACCTTGACGGCGTTTGGGCGGTTTAGCTGGTCCAGACAAACACAGTTGACGTGATTTTGGTGCTTATTTTGCTCTTGTTGAATGAATTTATATAAAAATTGTTGTTCGATATTGTTCTTGAGCATTTACTGATTGGTTGTGTGTCGGGGTGCCTAAATATATGGTTCATGCAAGATTATTTGACATACCGAGTAAGCTTCGCGTACGTGTCGACGAGTCTTTCGATGAATTTCTTTGCAGCATAGCGGAAACCTGTAATCAATCGTAAATTTCTCCATCAGCTGTTGTGCGGTACCTATTTCTGTTGCATGAACTGACGAATATGGTTGATATAGAATTCGAGCATGCTTCCGCACTTTTGTGTGGCGTTTTGATCACTTAAGTCAATGGATTGCATAGATGCAAGCGAAGGTTAGTGTTCATAACTGGAAAGAAGGAGTGTGTTTCGATATAGTTAACAAAGATCGGTGATCTGTCCTAACTATAGGAGGCCGAATATCCTACATTATTGTGCTGCGTCTAATGTCTCGTGTCCGTTTAATTTCAACCTGTTAAAATATCATCTCCGGTCGAACTGCTTACTCTCTCGTATACCGAAAATGGTTCGAACCCGTGAACTTGCGAATTTCCATAGAAACCTAAGAAGAAGCATTATTCTTGACTGCAACGTGCTCTGGAAAGTATTATAATAATATATTTATTACTATCTTAGTAGGACACACCAGTTTACAGGCATGGATAAGTGTTATTTAAATTACATAAATTTGTTTTATGGTCTAATTACTTTATTGCCGTCTTTTTGTCTTGGATGCATTACAAATACTTGGGAAAAAATAAGGCCACAATATATCATATGACTGTTGCCTTGATTATGAGTATAGCCTGTCATTCTCTATCAGATAAATTCAACTGTCTCCAATCTCTGTAGTCCTCCGTTGTGAACCATAATACACAGGTATTAGCTATTCAAAAAACCTCACTTTGTGATCAATAATATGATAACTTTATCTGAATGGCTTCAGATTATTGGGTGAAGATCAGGCTAGCGTTGCAGCCTTCATCACTCCTCCATGATGTACTTCCAGTTACGTGTATTAGACTTTCAGTTAGGTACAGCACTATCAAATTTTGACCATATCACCTGTCCAAGTAAACTATCTATGCGTTTCCAAGATTTACATAGCATCTGCCTGTAGTTAATCAAGACTATCCTCCTCTGGTGAGACTTAATCAACAGATACTACAGATTTCGGCACCTGTGATGGCAGCTTTCTCATCTGATTAGGTCGTGAAAACATTGTCAACGTTTCAACACGACCAGAAAATACTATTGACCTGGTGTCCACAAATCACGTCGGTAAATGTGATGCTCACAACACAGCCCTACGGCTTAGTGTGGATAGTTTTATCATAGAATATTGCACAGAACATATACAAAGCCACACAAAAGAAATTTCTTGCACAAGATAGATGTTTCTCTCATGATAATTTTCAGAATCTTAGGACTAAGTTAGGAAATAAAAACTGGGACTCATTTACTGAACAAGTTCCATATGACAAACAAAAATATAAAGTTTTATCCCAAATTCTGCCTTTGATTTTTGCAGTTCAAAGGAGATACTGTTAAGGTTGACTGCTTTTCCTTCTCCGAGATAGGAACGCTTTGTCCAGAAAAATAGAGGTTATTTAAGCTTAAAGATAATCCTGGTGTTGGGGGACTGCACATTTTAATTCACTCATGAATACCGAGACTAAATATGATGTATAAATAAAAGTTATTATCATGCGAAACCCCATCACACATGTGGAAGCTATTTGAGGGAATTACTTTTGATTAGCAAATAAAGTGTTACTTCTTCAGCTGACGCTGAAGCGCTTATTAATGTCCTTCATATGTAGCTCTGCTGGCATTATGATTTCAAATATTACAAGCGTAAAGAATGAATTCGTTTCTCGTTTCAATATAAAGGACGCCCTAAAGTGTCTCAAACCCTAGAAAAATGCTCACTCCCCTAGTTCAAATGACGTGCACAACCTTATCCCTAATGGATGTGGAGCCATTTTATATAACCCTATCACTGGTACATTCACTGAATCATTACTCACTAACATTGTGTCCACTTCTTGGAGGGATATTAAAATTGTTCCTGCGCCTAAATCACCAAGTGAGACAAGTGTTGAGTTTAAACCTATCCCTATTACGTCATTATGTTTGAGGACAGAAGAATGACTTCTTTTGCTTGAACTCGAACCTGCACTGAAGGCTTTTATCGAACCTAGTTAATTTGCTTATAAGTATAGTTGGTGTATTTTAGATGCTGCTGTTGTCTTACACCATAATAGTGTCCCTAATTTAGACAGAGTTGCCTAATATGCTCGACGTGCCTTCCCTGATTACACATCTACATCTGACTGCGTGTATCTGAGCCACTTTTGTTGAACAGACTTGTTGTGACAAAAGCACAGTTCTGGATTCTAATAAGAAGCAGTAAGCTGTTTACAACTGGAAGTCCTCCACTGATTCACTCACCCTAGATGGTGTTCTCCGAGGAGCTGTTTTTTCTCAGTTTCTTTTTTCCTCCTCCTCGTATGACTTCCCCACTCCGGTGAAACCGATTTAGTTAAGTATGCCAGGGATCTAAGTGATTCTATGCCCGTTATTTCCCAGTCAGGCTGCTCCAAGATTAATTACTTTCTACCAGAACTTAGTCAGTCGTCCTCGTCAAAAGTTCTTAAGCTTCGCCCCTCCAAATGGCATGTGTTAATTTCACTTTTAGAGGCAAGCGCGACGTAAGTGAACTGGTTGGTCCTCACGGCTCTACTATCATAGGTGGTGCTGAGGTTGAAATCAAGTCGAATGTTAAATACCTTGGATTGTGTATTTGCCTTGGTCTCCCTGGCCTTCTTACATCATATTAGTTTCCAGAAAGACACTTCGTTTGACGTTCCACGTAGAGAAATCAAGACGATCTGGTATCATCCCGTCTCTACTGCCACAATTTGTTATTTCTTGTATTCTATATATCCTTCTCCATTGCTCCCCCCAATCCCTCCCCACGCTACCTAAGAGGGACTTTGTTGTATTGCGAAGGGCAATAAAAGCTGTCGGTGAGGCGGATGAGGTGTTTCTATACCAACTCGTCAATACTTTTGTAGATGGACACGCGGACCCCTACAAGAAATTAGCGAATGTTATCTTGTCAGAGTTTTACATCGCCTCTATACACAACTGCCTGCTTGCATCTCGTGGGTTAAAACTAGAAGCAGCTATGGACTGCTGAATGTTCGGATGACTATGTATGGCAACCCCTCTATACCCTATTTAGCCCACAATTTTGTGTGACAGGAAGAGTGTAGGGCAAATAATTACCAGCTTACTGAGGGAGTCCAAGTAAACGGCATTTGACACAGTTTTCCTTTTTTACTTTCTCATTGCCACATTGTCATGAATATTTTCTCTTAAACTATAATTTCTAATTTATGTTTTTATTCAACAAAATTACCATTGTGAATGCCTTATTTGAATTACTGTCTCTGTAATGAGAAAATAAGATGCAGTTTCGAGTAAAGCTTAAATAAAAATAATTAAAATTTAAGCACCTATAGTTGCCAGTGGAATGCTGTTGCACCGATGATCACCGAACTAGTTAAAGATAAAAATATAATAGGTCCAATGAACCGTTTTGGCATTAAACGGGATACCCTATTATTTTACGGCTAGGTTTGGGAAAGATTAAGTTGACATTTAGGATAAGGACAGGTTGGGGTTCAGCTTAATCTAGTAAGGGAGGTCTTATAGTAGGTTCGAGTTCGATTAGGTTCATTTTCAAATTAGGGTTAGGTTAAGGAAAGAATAGTGTTAGGATTGGAAGCCCGACACGAATACATGTGTTGAGTTTGGTTATATTACTCTTTTGTTGCTTCAATCAAAATTCGCAAGCACTTTTGTCACACACCAGAGGGGGATATCATGTATGAGAGTTTCATGCATTTTTATTTCAAATTTTTCATGACTGCTGGTATTTGTAAGCAATAATTTTCTTTTCATGTAACCAGTGCATTCAAAGGCATTCGCGTATAGCTACTTTGTGCTGCTGGAAGAATAACTTCGCCGCTATGATTATAATTATTCTAAATAAGCTAAAGCATTATTTGTATGTGCGACAGTTACTTTTAGACCAAATTTTCACAGTTTAAGAAAACCTCCATGTCGTATGTATGTGTATTTGATACAATTTCATGAAATTTCATCGGCGTACGGATTCAAAACCAGAGCCATATACATAAATCAATTTTTATACGACCTATTTGTCAGAACATTTCATTGAGAATATATTTGTGGTTATCGAGCACCTTTTTAGGCACTCGTTTAAATTGAAAACAGAAGGCTCAAAATCAATTCTTTAAATGGAGAAAATAGATGACTAATACTATTATTCCATGTATCGTTATATTCAATATTTGTGCGAATTGTGATTGCGCTGCCCTTATGAATTTCAGCGTTACTGTTGCAATCAGCAGGTTTGTACTGTTTTCCTACTTGGACTTTGTCCATTGCTGGTGTTTTAAACTGCCTTCAGATACGATTATTTTACTGTTATTTTCTGAAAATTTGTTGCTATGTTCGTGCTTGTTGTGAGCAAATACTTGACATATCAGGCTGACATTAATATTTAAATAGAAATTAAAAGTACACTATGCACTTTCATTGTGTTGTGCGTTGCCTGGTGGACCTTTTTATCACATTTCGCAGCGTATTTACGTCGTGTGATGTCTAATCTCAATATATATTAGGATTATATATACATATATTACTAATTAGTAATATATCTGGGTTCTATGTGTGCAATCAGTTATAACTGATTGCACACATAGAACCCAGATTTCCTCTGCCAGCGTACCCGCATACGACAACTGAATAAAGGGGAAATGCTGTTGGGCTTCAAATAGTTGATATACTGTTTCACCAGAGACCAAAGACTCGAGTGCGATCACATTTCTTTTCGCTTCGTGTTTGCCGTCTCTGGAACGCTTTACCGGCGGCCGTGACTACAGCGCCATCTCTGGAGATTTTTAAGCGGAAGCTAGACAATCATGCAGAAATGCAAGGTTTATGTCTCAGTGGCTTATCCTCATAAAATTTGAAACCAAACTGTCAATGAATAGGCGTACTAACTAAATCCCCACGACCTATTCTGCCTTCTCTCACTCTATCTTTTCCTTAGGTCACCTTTATTATTCCACTTATCTCAACCTATATTATCTACACTACAACCTATTATTATTATTATTATTACTATTCTGCTTTTATGACTACACCGAATGACCAAGGGGAGTTAGGTCAAACTCCATTCACGGCAGCAATACAGTCCTAACATACTGCATACTACAAACCACATCTCGACCAATCCCCGCACCACTCCTCCTGGAGTCTACCAGAGCTAAAGCAGTCGAGTGTCGGGACTTACTACGCAGAAGCTCACCGAAGATCTGGAACCTCTACCTCACAATCAAGAAGCGAGCTCAAAGAAATCACTGGTTTATACTAGCTCGTCATCAGGATATTGGATATTGGATTATCATCCATGTAATGTTCGTCATCAGGAATAAATATTCGGAGGTTCTCCATTCTTTAAATAGAAAACGGTTTATTTGCAGTTGATACATACTGTTGCTTCCCTCAATCACCCTCTTAAGTTCAATATAGTGTTTCCCTTCACTTTTCCTAGACTCAAGTCTTCATTAATTCATTTCAAATAATATGACTTGCTCAAATTCTGTGAAGAGCATGAAATTCTGTCAGTAAGCCCCCACAGAATCATATAGTTTTCTTAACGGTCACTCATATAGGGCTTTAACTTGAGGTTTGGAGCACAAGCCAGCAGATTCACATTGCCGTAATGGTATGTGAATTTTAAAAAAAGTCACTGACTATTGTAGCTTCTGTAATCCATGTTCATCACACGTTTGGATCCAATATTTTCCAACTCTTCTAGGTGAAGCTTTCATGTTAACCAGTCCGACAATAGACACGGGACATATGAAATTGCCTTTTCTGCTTTGTATGCGTACCCTCCGGTATGTGGAATCAGTTCCTATGACACGCCTGGCTGGAGCTGTAAACGAGTACCAACGTGAGAGCATTTCGAAGAAAAGAACTAAGAGTAACCACCTGAGTATGTATCAGGTCATTTATGGACCCCTTTCAAGTTGTATAATTTGAATATGATGACGGCATTCAAGATCCCCCTTTACTAGATATGTCACTTCTTAAAAATCCTGTGTATTGCCTCTATGGTGATTTAATTAATAAATTTTACGTGATTGTTTTATAAAACAAGTGAATCGTTGTTTGACACCTCTGAATAGTGAGTTTCATTCTGAGAACTGATTTTCAAACATTGTGAATGATCATCTTCAAAAGTAACTTGGGATCATTTCAAGTTTTTCGGTTATGCACAAATAGACGTGTAAATAAAATAGCTCACAAGTACTCATGTGTACTTTTCACCTTTGAAAGACGTGACTAGCGTTTCTTACTGATATTCACTTCTTGGCGAAATTCAAGCGTATTCTCGTCAGTGATTATTGTGCTGGTAAAGCCTTGATCTTTAAAATTAGGTTTCTTTCTTTCTAACACTTTCTTTTGTAATATCTAGGAATTTATGGCCCAAATGCAGTTTTCTTACTCATGTCTTATTGTTTCATGTAAATCATAGACTTGGTAAAAAAATAAGCACAAAGAGACACAACATGTAGCTTTTTAATGTCAGGTTGATGACTAATTGTTTAAGAGGTCAAAGATTCATAATGTGTGTAATTGATATCAGTAAGCTCGTTTGCATGCCCTCCTTTTGTTTTTAGTAGACTAGAGTGACTTGATGTATGTATTCTGATAGCATCAGATAATATTAGCATTCTTTCATTTGGATATAAGATGTTCTTAAAACGATAGTCTTCTTGTAACGCTATAAACTTGGCTTGTCTTTCTAAAACTTCGATTTATGGTAAATCGTTTGGAAAATTATCTGTGCTCTTACCCTATTTCAACATGATTGTTAGCAACATAAGTGATATTCACCTTATAGATTATCTACTAAGCACCATTACTGTTGCCTACCAATGCAGTGATCCTGCTTAAAATTTGTTTTTCGCCGGCTTTCGAGCCTCAAATTATACCGCTTGGAATATTAAAACTCAAGCCTCCAAGCTAACCGCACTTGTGTATCTTGACTGACTGACTGACTAGTTTCAACATAGGGTTTTGCATAGAAGTGCAGAGGTTTGAGTTGCCACATTGTATTATTCGAAACAACGATAGTTAGCAGAAATGTGAGGGAAGAAAAATAGTAATATGAAAAAAATATTACGGTTTAGTCGATATGGGAGATCACAAAAATTGAATGCGTCTGCACCATTGTTAACGAATTTGAGCCATATCTCAAGTAGTGTCCAGCTATTGGTTTTTAGAATCCTGTGGACCACAACCAGAAAGCCTACACTTCCATACGTGGTTCGAAGCAACTGGCGAAGACTTCATGGACTGGTTCCAAGTTTTGGTTTGACTACCACTAACTCTTTTCCAACCTAATTCTATGTTAGTTAGCATTGCCAGTTGAGGAAGGCGATGACTAGGGATGAGTAAAACATATCCTAGACATTTCAGTCGATGTAACTTCACAGCCTGATCGATTGATTTTCCCTCGTTATCTAACACTCGATTCCTAATCTGAATATTACTCATCATATTATACCACCTAACATGGGTGATAGGACGCATACACCTTCGATCAAAGACAGCTAGTCCTTTCATATCTTCCACTTTCAGTGGCCAAGTCGTAGGGCCGTAAAGCAGGACAGAGCGAACTGATACGCAGTAGACACGTCCTTTGACTAATAACCGGCTTTCAAGTCCACACCAGAGATGACGTTAGTTGGCAAATGTTACACAAGCCTTTTGTATCCGACCTGAGATTTCGTCAGCGACCAGCCCGTTGGGGCTGATACAACTTCCCAAATAAGTTGAATGATCACTACACTCTGCCAATTCACTTCTTATTTTTAAGGTTGGAGTTGATGTAGTCTATTCCTGTAGCATCATCCTACATTTAACAGGAACGAATCGCACGCCAAACATTCGAAAATTTCTGCTCAAGGTGTCCAGAAGACTCTGCACTTTCTGGGTCTTCTGGGAGGCCAATATCATCCACATATTCTAAGTCCAAAAAATTATTCCTTAAATACAAGTCAATCCCCAGGTCACTCAAGTCAATTCCATCAATACATCTATGATAAAACTAAACAGAAATGGAGATGATGGGCGTCTCTGATGGATACCATTCGTTGTCATCACTTGTATAATATCGTGCCTAGGTGTTTGCTCATGAGTTACTGGCCAAAATACTTATCATTTAAATACTGCACGTAGATGGTTTGTGATGTTTTAGACAGTGTCCTCTATTTTCACATAGGTGTAACTCATTATTGGTTATATGTACACACTTACTGCGAGTTACACATGTATTCAAGTAATAATTAAATATGAGAGTTTTTTCCTTGTAAGGATTTATTTTTTACTTTTGAGAATGTTTTACATATAATTCTTGCATAAATGCTCAAATATTTTTCTTTCCTATGTAGATTCAACATTGTACTATTAGCTGTCGATGTTCGGGAGGTCACTGATACAAAGGTTTTAGTAATAATACTCTCACGCTCTTTGTTCAGGTTCTTAAGAGTAAATCGTCTGCAGTCGTTCACTTTTTCAACAACCTACAAACTTACAGGCTTAGATGAATTTTTTGACGAAAAGAAGAATTGGGGTGAAACAACTGTAAGTTGTGGAAGGCCATGGAGAAAAGAAGAACTCCGACTAAAAAGCAATGTTGATCTACATAAATTATGGTATATATTACTTAAAGAGCGTAACATGTTGATGACCATGGAAGAAGAGCATTATCGTTGTTTAGAACGCATGCCGAGTTCTGAACGGTTTGAAAAAGTGAGTGAATCATTTTTTGTATTCATGCACTCGCTCAAATATTGACTGTTGCGATTGTCGTTAATATTCACAAGGTTCTGTTTTAGCGCAACGCACCTGTGATCAAAGACAGCTAATCTTTTCATGTCTTCCACTCTCAGTGGCCAGGTCTCACAGCTGACCATAAAGGAGGACGGAGCGGACTGATGAGCTGTACACCCGCCCTTTGGTCGATAGCCAGCCGGATATCACGTCTACGCCAGAGACGGCGTAAACTGGCATATGCGAAACTAGCCCTCTGTATCCGTGCTGAGATTTTGTCGGAGATCAACCCGTTGGGGCTGATGGTACTTCCCAAATAAGTGAAGCGGTCAACGTGCTCTACCACTTCACTCCCTATTTCTAATCTAGGAGTCGCTGCAGTCCAGTCTTGCAACATCATCTTGCATTTGGTGGGAGCGAATCGCATGTCAAACATTCATAGATTGCAGCTCAAGGTGTTCAGAAGACTCTGCATTTTGTCAGCGTCTTCGCCTAGAAGGACTATATCGTCTGCATATTCCAAGTCAACGAGATTATTCCCCGGTAGCAAGTCAATCCCTGAGTCGCTGAAGTCACCTAGGGTTAAGTCCATTAACACATCTATGATGAAATTGAATAGAAATGGGGATAATGGGCATCCTTGACGGACACCACTGGTCGTCATCAGTTCAGATGACAGCTCGCCGTAAGCCCTCACCTGGCTGTATGAGTACGAGTAGAGTGCCTTAATCAGTGCAATATATTTTCTCGGAATTCCCTTTACAGCCAAGCATCTCCAGAGAACTTCTCGATCGACAGAGTCGAATGCTGCCTTTAGGTCAAGAAATATAATGACTGTTGGACGCCGGTAGGAATGCCTATGTTCTAGAATCTGTCGGAGGGTGAAGATATGATCAATACACCCTCTTCCTGGTCTAAAGCCTGCCTGGCTCTCTCGTGTTTGTGCCTCCCGAGCACCACTCAGTCTACGCATGATTATTGAGCCTAAGACTTTAGATACTATATTAGTCAAGCTAATCCCTCTGTGATTATCACAGGAAGACTTGTCTCCCTTCTTGTATATGGGGATAATCAGTGACTTACACCAACCCGATGGGACTTCTTCTGATTCCCAGACGCTGCCTAGTACCTCAGTTAATGCAGACAGTAAGCTGTCTCCACCGTACTTAAATACCTCTGGAGTCATTCCATCAGGTCCCGCTGCTTTGCCTAGTTTCAGATTGGTGACAGCTTTAGTAACCTCAGTTAGGGACGGAGGACCTGTGTCTATATCCTATTCGGGTGTGTGCTGGATGGCGAGGAGGTTCAGTGTCGCTGTAGGCAAGTTACATTGTTCCTCAAAGTGTTCTTTCCAGCGTTCGAGGTGTCTGTCCTTAGAGCTAATTAAAGAGCCATTTTTCTCAGAGATAGTCTCACTTATGATTTGCCTTCTCCCTCCCGTTTCCCTGATGAGTCCAAAGAGTTGCCTGGTGTTGCCTATCCTCAAAGCTTTCTCCATCTCTTTGGCTTTTGTCGCCCACCACTGTTCACGGTCCTTGCGGAGACTTTTCGTAAGTTTCCTCTTGTGCAGCTTTCGCTCTTCACTAAATTCGGAGCTCGCCGGAATAAGTCTTCTAGCATCTATCAGTTCGGATGAGGCGGTGGAGATCCAGTGGTTTTTACTCACCTTTGGGTTTACCTTGTTCACAGCTTTTACAGCTGTATCTATGGCTGCCTGGATATTCTTCCAAGCTTCTTCAGGGTGAGCACAGCTGTCGAACACAGATATGTGTTTAGCTAGTTCTTCCTGAAATACGGATTTAGTTTCCTGATCGAGCTGGGGACGTGATGGTTTTACCGCCAGCTGTTTCCTACGTCCGTTCAGTCGTAAGCACACCCGAGCGCGGACCAGTGCGTGGTCGGTATCTACGCACGTGTTCCAGAAGGAGCGACAATCTCCTACCGACCCACGCCAACGATAGCTTATTGCTATGTGGTCTATTTGTGTCCAGCGTTGGTTTGATGAAGAGGGTCTCCAAGTCAAACAGTGTCTCTCCTTGTGTTTGAAGTTAGTGCTTACAAGAAACAAATGATTATCAGAGCAGAACTGTAGGAGACGGTCATCGTTTTCGGTTCGCTGGTACGGAACTCCATAGGTGCCACCGACATCCTTCTCAGATTGACGCAATTTCCCTACTTGAGCGTTAAAGTCACCAGCTAGAACGACTATGTCTGAGCGTTTAGCCTTTCGCACCAAACTAGACAGCTTTTGGTAGAATTCATCCTTCGGGGATTACGAAAAGGCATCGGGGAGTAGTGCAGTCCTTTCGTCTTCTTACTGACCCGTTCAGACGGACAGCACACATTCGGCTATCTACTGGGATCCAGTCAAGTAGTGTCTTTCCTGCCCTAGTACTCAAAGCTATCCATACGCCAGCTAATCCTCGTGAACTAGCTGTGGCATCTCCTGACACCCTCAAGGTGAATTTTGCAGATTCAACCTGTTGGCCAGGTGGGGTTAGGTGAATAACCACATTTGGGTCTTGTATGCGTGTTTCTGAAACACAACACACATCAATGGCTCGTGATGCTTGTTGTCCTATTTGGCAAAGTGTCCCAACTTTGATGTAGTAGATGTAAGAGAGTAACGCACTTGGAAACTTCATTAAAAAGTAGTTTTTCTCCTGTGCCAGGAGGTAGTAAAAATTCTGCTTATGACTGATTGACGAGAATTAAAAGAAGACTTCAGATAGGATAAGAGTAATATAATGGTAATATACAGCAAGGAGAACGACTGAATGTAGATTTATGTAGAAATAGAACAGTCATGGTCTGTGTTTGCAGTCGATCATATTATCACACACGGTTACAGTGCTTCGCTTAATCTTTAATAACACGCTACACCGGTTATGCTCTTCCATTAATAATCAGTTGTACTTCGAAGAGGGTCTTTTCTTACTTTAGATGGTATGAAATTGTAAAAAGACTACTAGTTGTTGACTGCCATTATCTGTCACTACTGGTAAAACTATCACAAGCAATGTAGCAGTTAAGCAGAAATCTCTATATAGGATTGCTAGGTTAGATGAGAACGTCATAAGCCTTCACTACTCAGGGTAATTCGGACACTATTTGCTCATGTCTAGTTGACGTCTATCACGACGTACACAGTAGAATAAAATCAATGTGTTGAAAGTATGAAGATGATCGATACAAGACTCAGCAGCCGCCATCCATAGCGTCTCATGTTCTAAATGACCTATGTAGATGAATGTCAATTTTAACAGACTGATAGTCAAAAAATTGTAATGCCCTATACATTTGTTATTTAAATTGTTTGAAAATTGGCGTAAATTTTGAAGCAGATTCAATTAGTGAAAGAAATATATCTCTTTACTTATAATTCCTTGTGCAGTAATATGTCCGTATTAGTCAAGAAGCAGCTTCTATTAACAATGCCTTTTTTTATCAAGCGTTGGTTTACAGGGATTTTATTAATTACATGTTTGGTCACGAGTTAGCATCAGTTGGAGAACCATTGGAAAACCAGGGAGCGCTGGATAGCTACTCCATTTCAGCCTGGGACTAGATCAGACCCCAATGGCTGAATGCTGCTCTACCAGCTCGCCTTGCAACCGGATGGTCTTGGGTTCAAACCCCGTTGAGTGCCTAATACTGAAGAGACGAAACAGCTGTCCAGTACCCCTTGGTTCTCCGATGATTACCTGACCGATGTCAGGTCGTGATAAAACCTGTAATGTTTTAAAAAGTATCTAATCAGTGGGATATAAGAATATGAGAGGTGTATGTTAGGAGATAGTTACTAGACTAACAATTCGATGTATGTATGGTGATATGCATAAGGCTGATTCCAGGCATCGGGAATTCGTTGTTTAAGGTCTTCATTAGGCGGTTGGTAACCTCTAAATGAAGACATAGCAAAATGTAGTATGAAAGATTAAATTCATAATTTGCAATGTACACAGTTCGAGGGGTTAAATTTTCAATACGTTTTCGTTTTGGGAACCACATATTTCAGATTTCAGTCTTTGATCTGCTTGCTACCATGAATGATAATCAAGAAAGCAAGTAAATATGCACAAAACTGTATACTGCTGATTAATTAAGATGAGTAATTGTACGCCACTCCTATCAACAAGTACTGCTTGCTAGCCAAACAGCTGTCTGGTGTTTAGATCACCTCGACCTGGCTAGCAAGCATTACTTGTTAGTTTCAGTAGTATACGTCTAAATCAGTCAATCAGAAGTATTTAGTCTTATGCAAACAATGAGAAAGATTTCTTTGAACTCGTTGACAAAACTAAAGATATTAGCATCACGGAAAAAACTGCTATACCATTATTTGCAAATGATTTCGTGGTCGAAATGGTCATCTACATATGTACATAAATAAATAAATAAGAAGTCAGTAAATATTAAGATACCGACGAAAGTCCTTAAAGGACTGTTACTTAGGTCTACTATGAATGTATGCCTTAAATTTGACGAGGGTCTTCTATTTAGGGGAATTTCTGCCTAACCTGACTAATAGATGGTTCATTAAAAATGCTCATCAGAATATTCACATTTTACTATCGATTTATGAACGGTAAATTCATTCGTTGTAAAAATGAATTAGACACATGCACAATAATTACTCTTTTTCAACAAAGTAAATTTGTGCGTGAATAGGAACCTCAAAGTAAGATTGTTTTGAATAAGGCATTAAGACAAATTTATCAAAGGGACTAATTGTTTTAAGATTGTTTTCTTAGATGGTCTTTCGAAAAAAAATCATGTATGAAAACGAATTTATATAAGTAAAGCACCTGGATTGGGCAGTATGCACATTTCCGATTCTCCCTTTCCCTTCAATACTAATTAAAGAAATTCGGTGAAGACACTCAGCTATAGAGTGAGAGTTATGTGTCCAGATGTGATATAATACCTTAATTGAAAATAACTATCGGAGTAAACTTACAAGAAAGCGCCTGGTAATGGAAGTACGAAAGAATTAAAAAAAACAACCAAGAAAGTCAATTCAAAGAGCTTTTAATGCCTGGTAAATTGTAACTCATGTTTTATCCACGCTCAGGCTGTGGACACCTCATCAACTGTTGCCCTAAGAACTTGACTTTCTTGTGCTTGGATATATTTCCAAGTACGGTAGGATGAAACTGTGATAAAAAGCATTAGTGCATCTACGCAAAACAGATGATAAAGCAACTATTGTAGAATCCTTCATTATTATCTATGATATGTCTAGTAAATTGCCAAAAGCTACTAGGTACGAAGTACTCCAAACATTAGAAGCCATAACAATTCTCTCAAACCTCTGGAGCTTTGCTAAGGGTAGCAGTGTAGAAAGAAATGAACAAGAAGTTCAACGAAGACATCTTTTCATCCTCGTAAGATGTACAATCGGATTTTTATACATAAGTTTAAATAGTTACAACTATTATTTAATTCAACAATAGTAACGAAGGGAGATTAAAGGTGATATGAATATTTGAAAGTACGAATATAAATTACAAGGGGCATAGGAAGAAAATTAGTTCCGCAATGATAGAAAGAAAACTAGATCCATGGTAAATCTAGGCGTCGGACAAGTTTATTTTCAATGCATTTGGTGAGGGCTTCTGCTGTACAAAGAAGTTGGAAACACACTGCCTTTGGCAGTCTTTGGGGCGTATCCTAAAGTTTGTGGAAACCCTGGCAATTAGAAAATTTATACCACCTCTATGCGCTCAAAAACAATTCGTCGTCACACTAAACCTTCCTTGGTACACTTTATTTTGATACCACAGCAGATATATTATTACCTCTGTTATTTGGTTTAGTGATCTTCGTTGTTTTTTTGACCTTCAATATGCCCATTTAACTCGGACTGAATTTATTTTCTCACCTCTTAACTTATTATTTTCAGATCTATTGCTATGATAAGTCCGTGTGAAATCAGATTGTTCGAAATATGTTGCGCAAATGCATTACACGATTCAGACACATTACGTCTTCTTATTGTTTTGTCAGGATATTTGTTCACTTTGCAAATGACTTTGAGTGATGTATAAAAATGCGACTGTACATCTTTTGAGGATGAAATCGACGAGAAGATGCTTTTGCTGGACTTCTTGTTCTCTTCTCTCTCCAATGTCCTGATGGGGTGGGTGGGTATTAACTTCTAGTCCAATGTAACTATCACTCCGGGTGTCATACACTTTAAAATGTATCAAATGTCATTGATTTCGCATTTAAAACACACTAATGATAATAATCGAATCTTTTGTCTTTTTATCCCCCTTTAGATTAAGTTTGTGTATCTATTTATTAACCATGAACATTTACAAAATAACTAAACTCATAGTTGAAATAATAATCTTATTTTTACTTTTCTCTTATATTAGGTTGAAGAGAGTATGGAGAATCTCTTAATGGTAGTAGAAGAACGTAATCGTGCTGTCGATGAATTAGAAAAAGGTGAATGGATTGGTCCAACAGTTGTTGAAAAAGTAGATCAATTAGGTCGAGAAGTTCCAACACTGACTAGTGAACATTTTACTCCAAAGGTTATAAAAAGTTATGCAGAATCAGATGAAAGTATGTGGAGTCAAAAAACTTTGAAATTATTACAACTGGAAAGAGAGAGAAATATTGCACGTAAACGTGAACGTAAACGAAGAGAACGTTATTTTGAAAGACTTGATCACTGGAAAAAGATTGATTATCTTGATGAAAAATCGATTGAAAAACGCGCAGTGTGATTCCTTGTATATTTTAGTGTATATACTTAATTTTGTTGATAAAATTATGAATATTAGCATCTGTAACTTTTTAAATGTACTTTCAAGGTATCTCATGAAGTGCGCTGATTTGATCACAAAAATCTATTATAATTTTGAGATGATAAATAATGAATTATGAGAACATTATTCCAGAGGCAAACTAAGCGTTAAGTGTATAAACTTCGACTGTGGATGACTACCAGACTACGAGAGTGCCCACACTAATACTGTTTCCTGAATATCAACATTCACCCAGTAATAGGGTTTAAGCAGTTGACCTCCAGCCAACGGGTTTCAGGTGCCAAATCTTACTCCGACTACTTCAACTTGGGCAGTTGGGTACTGTTATCAGTTCTCACAACCTGACACATGAAATGTTCCAGGTGCAAAATTTAAAAACGTCAGCTTTTTTCAATCATAGGTATCTGCTTATTATCTTCCATGTTAAGTGGTATAATAAGGCGAGTAACATTGAAGGTAGGCGTCGAGTGGTAGGAAAGGAGGGTACATCGATCGATAAGGTTGTAAAAGTGATTCAGGATATGCGTTGCGCAATGTTAGCCGATATTGTTGATTAGGTTGGAAAAGTTGCCGGTGATCAAACTAAAACATGGAATCATTCCATGAAATCTTTACCAGTTAGTTCAAGCCACGTAGAGAGGTGTAGGATGCCTAGTCGGGGTCATCGGGATTCTAAGAGACTACTGAAGGTATGGCTCGAATTCGCTGTCAATGGCGAAGTTGCAGTCACTCTTTGTGATCTCTTATATCCACTAAACCTTAGTGCCTTTCAATGTTACTAGTCTTTCTCCCTCAACTTCCCGCTTATTACAGGCTCTTTTTCTCTTTTATGCCTGTGTGCTGCATGGAGTGTGGCAACTTCATCTGTTGCACTTTGGTGCAAAGTTTTATGCTGAAACTCAGTCAGACAGTCCCAGGTAACGGCGTTCCCAAAAACACCTACATTCGCTTAAATGAAAAAAAAATTTATCATACATCAATAGATTTAAAAAAGAGGTTTTTAATTTTATGGCTTCCCAGGTTGTTTTGTTCACGGATATTCCACTACACGAGACTGTTGGTTTCATTTGTGATTATATCACAAGCCATCGAATAGGATTACCTTTGCCTGCCATTTACATCAGGTATGTCATGTTGACGTGTACAGAAAGTGTCAGGTTCGATTTTCAAGGAAAAGAATACAAACTCAAGATGTTGCAATGGGAAGCGCTCTTGGGCTCCTGTTAGCAGATGTATATATGTCAAAATTGGAGAAAGAAGCGGGCGTTATACGAGCAAACTTATTAGTGACTATAATGAGTTGATTGACAACTCTATTCGTTCAAATATTCGAGTGACTTTGGAATCCGAATTGTATAACAAACTGAATTTCTTGGATTTTTCAATGACTAGTAGGGACGACAGAACAGATAAGCGATTCCTATTTCCCAAGCAGATATGGAGTGGACAATTTCTCCATTTCAGCAGTTTTGTTCTTATCCAGTATAAATGTTCCCTGGTGAAATGCCTATTTTTAAAGGCCCGTAAAGTTTGCACGCGCAACACGACAATGGATGGGCTACGGTGAATACATTCAGTTTTATAAGCTAATAAATATCCGGAAGACTTCATTGGATGCCAAAGAAAGCTAACGCTATTAGACTACCATCAAATCATCCAGTTGACAGCTCAAAGGCTTCGGTCACTTATCAAGCGTAAACTATGCTGTATCCCTTTTCCTTATATCTCGAACATTTTTGACTCCTTCAACAGTGATTAAAGGACGAAATTCTGTCGAATATACTTCACACTGTATCTACAAGTTCATCTGCAGTTCCGGTGACAAGTATATAAGTAGAACCAATAGAATGTTCCAATTTCGTCGGAAAGAACATGTCCCTAAATGGTTATTAAGTCATATAGAAAACCCAAATGTAATTAATCTGGGCAGAAATCCATTCCAAATTAAACCTTTGTCAACCATGGACTACTTGACCTACTCAAATATGATTGGTTATCAGTGTGTACTTTTGTTGTATATACCTGAGTAATTGTTATACCTTTTTATTTTATTATCGTGAACCATGCTGGTTGTAAAGCAGTTGTAGGGGAATTACGAAATGATGTCATCTCGTGATATTTGTTTTCTCAATACCATGTTTAAATTTACCAAACGGACTAACTTTTACAACGATTGCGTTCATTTATAGTATATATAATCATAGTAGCTTTCGTAACCTATGAAACACTATGTTTTGTATTTATTGTTATTATTATTCCCTTGATTTCCGAGTGGAGCATAGGGCTTCAACAGCATGTCTCCACCTTTGTCCTATTTTCTGCAATCCTCCTTAGCTGGCCGCCCCACGGTTGCTCATAGTCTCTGATCCCCTCCATGTCACTCCCGGACGCTCCACTCGAGGGCCTAGCGCGCGATGTTATTCGACGGTCTTCTCAGCATGTGCTCTATCCATCTCCACTTTCTCTTGTATATTTCTTTGAGCAATCGGTTCTGGGTTAGTTTGTTCCCAGAATTTCTTGTTGCTAATTCTTTCTGACCGACCATTTGATCTTCAATAAGGAGGCAGCTTTTGATAAAAGTCTCCAATTGTCTGTTAGAAATGGTTTTGGTGACGCTCCAAGTTTTTGACCCATATAGAAGTAACGGACTTAACGTTTGGGTTGAAAATTCGAATCTTCTCTATGTTGAATGCAGAAGATTTCCAAACTGATCGCAGAGTGATGAAGATTTGTCTTGCTTTTCCGATTCTTGCTATGACATTCCCGTCCGTTCCACCTGTAGATCAAATAATGCTTCCTAGATAAGTGAAGGAAACAACCTCTAAAGAATTTCTCCCGTTGACAGTGATTGGTACTACTTGTTGTTATTGATAATTGATATGTTACAGTATGAAACCAAAATAGTTCTGTGGTGAGAGCTGGCTGTTAGTCAAAATTGGTGGGCAGTAATTTACGTCAATGTTTATGTCCCCAGTATTGGTCGTGAGAAAAATGAGAACAAAGGCTTTGCGTAGGCGGATACAGTCAACATATAGATGATCTCACACTCAGAAAAAGTCACAAAGAGATGAGAGATTAACTTTCCGTGAGAAACAACTAATCAGAAGACTGTGTTTTTCTGTTAACAATAATCTCTAATATGTACATGAAAATCTATAAATATGTTTTGATTTTCCTTAATAAACGATCTGTTGTCTGGCCCTTGTCTTCTGTTGTTACAGTACAACGATATCTTATCATCAGTTAACATATCATATTTCATTACTGCGAAACGAAAAAATACCGTACATGCTGAACAACCTTTTGTGTTATTAGTAAAAGCAATAGGTTATTTCGAATTGCTCAAGTTGGAATTCAATGGATACTTAAAAAAATCTATCATATTCTCTTGCATAACACTGGAAACAATGATGAAAAGACATTTAATTATATCATATATAAAAAGATACTATATTTTTTTCTATGAAGAACGCAATTGTTTCTCTAATTCCAGTGTGTTTATTAAAGCATAATTTAATTCCTTTCCAACTGTGGTTGCAAGCTGTAATAGAAGTACGTCAATGAAATGCAAAAAAGGATTATGTTTACCTCTGACATTTTAACAATTGTTTCCAACTGACAACTACAACATCCATCACGTTCTATAGATCCTAATGATCCGTCAGGGTATATAACAACAGACAACCTGAAATATCATTATTATTATTAAATGAATAAACACGTTTGAATGCACCAACCTGGATAGTGAACACGCCTCTTCTTCTTTAGTAGCATCGATTACGTAAGCATTCCCAATCTTAAAAAAGAGAAGAAATAAGAACTTAAACAGGACATACGAGAAGGCGATAGAAAAGGAACGCTGAAACTGCTTATTTTTAAGTCTATACAAGTGTGTCCTTATTCAAAAAACTTCAGTGTTATTTGTACTAGAATAAAAACGCCGTCAGTGCGCCTAGAGTATGACCTGATAGATGAATTCATGATCGACTATTGATATAAGAATAAAACTTGTGCAATGTGGTAGAGTGTAATTCCATTATGGGTAAATTTTGTTTTGATAAAGTCTCACAGTGTTATACAGTAATGTTTACTGATGACATTTCGAGGACAATTTATTGCTCATAATCATATCAAGGTACTCACACGACATCCTAACTTCATTTATATAGTTCCATTATTTTCCATCACTTGATTTGATTGGCAGTAGTATTTTCCATATTTCAGGTATGAGTGATGAATCATTCTTATTGCATTTGTTTGGTGTAGACTCGATGAACAAGGATTCAGTAATCAATCAATCTCTCTCTTCACCTATCTAGATTACTTTTTAGAATTTTAACGCTCTCCCACCCACCCTATTCTGTGGTTGTATTTTAATGCATACATTGCAATTGCTGAGCTATTTTCCAAATTACTTATCTTCTCGGGGTCAACCATTCTTACCTTAGCTAAATTCTTATGTTTTGACAATCTGACTACCCCTGACCTACTAGTGTAACAACAGAAGACAAGGGCCAGGCAACAGATCGTTTTATTATGAAAATCAACACGTATTTATACATCTTTCAACTACATTATTATAGACAAGCGCAGTCATCTGATTGGTTGTTTAGGTAGACAAACGCAGGCTTCTGATTGGTTGTTTCGGGATTCCTTGACAAATAGAGTTCTCTCTGCGAATCATATTCTGCCACGTTAACTTTGCTGTGATTGGTTGTTGACTCAGGCTTGTTCATATTTTCTCACGGCCCATATTAGTGACCTAGACCTTAACGTAGATTAGTGCCAACCAATCGGCTAGCAGCCTGCTCTCACCACACTAGTTCTAAAAAGTAATCTAGGTAGGTGAAGAGAGAGATTGATTGATTACTGAATCCTTGTTCATCGAGTCTACACCAAACAAATGCAATAAGAATGATTCATCACTCATACCTGAAATATGGAAAATACTACTGCCAATCAAATCAAGTGATGGAAAATAATGGAACTATATAAATGAAGTTAGGATGTCGTGTGAGTACCTTGATATGATTATGAGCAATAAATTGTCCTCGAAATGTCATCAGTAAACATTACTGTATAACACTGTGAGACTTTATCAAAACAAAATTTACCCATAATGGAATTATGATCGACTAATTAGAAGAAAGTCGGTTCATATTGATTATTATGCAGTTATGGATATCCTTAATGATTATTAATCAAAGGCATAAAGAAAGCATAGAAATTACAGAAGAATGTATGGACAATGAAATCTGTCGCACTAAAAGACACCACTACCTTGTTATTGTTTAGAAAACCTATCTATGGTTGTTTTGTAACAATAGAAGGCAAGACACGGGAGCCAAGGTACATTTTTCATTAATCAAATCGCTGTTTACATATCTACAGTTTATATTCGTTAATCAATCACTGGGCGTGTGATTTCGGTTTACATTAAACGAAATGAAACAGAATCTTCAAATAGATATATTGTATTATGTTGCTTGTGCCGAAATAAACTGTGGGAATATGTGAGAATGATATTCCGTTGGCACACATTGTCCGTATCACACCGTCACAGTTTATCATGATGTCAAATCTTAGCTTTTTTGTATACCTTTCTGTTGGGATAGACAAGCTTCTGTGTTAACAATGAAGTTATTATTTAGGCATGCACTGACACATGATAACCTGGTTGGATTGTTTTTGATTTGTTTATTTGTGGATTAATTTTCTGAGGTGATACAACCAATCGGATTTGTTTATATATTTATAGCTTAAATTCCTGAAGTTTTGTAAATATGATATACTGTGCATTTTGTTTCATAAACATTGTCGTGATTATCGCTGGTATTGTTATTTCATTTTCGGTTGTCGTTCTTCTCAGTCTGACTTTTGTGTCTATTTGAGTGTGGGGATATTTTCAGTGATCAATTGGTTATGGTGTCGTTTCTAGCGGTGCATTTTAGTCCCGAAAAATCAGTAACACTCTGTCGTAACACATTCCATCTTAAATTGTTTCACTGGCTATTGCTATGAGGCAGTGGGTCCAGTGAGGCTAAAGTATGTTTAGTATCTTAGTTAATAAGTTTGACTGACATTAGTTAGTAATTTGAAAGTCCTATAATCTGAATATCAATCGCCAGCTCATTGATGGCTACTAGATGAATTTCCTGAAGTTTCAGTGGGAAGTCATGACCAGTGGGTTCTACCATATCAAGGTGGAGTGGATGTTCATCTAAGGCATTGGTGAGGACAGCGCTATATTACGGGTTGATAAAGTTAAAATTCAGGAGCCACTGAATTCCAGCCTAAGTGGCTGAACGGTCAACGAGCTTGCTTTTGTAACCTGAAGTTCCAGCGATCGATCCCTAGATGGGTCGTAGGTGCGTACTGTTGAACAGTCTCAGAGTGGAACGAAACAGCTGTTCCATTCTCGCTAGTTTTTCGGCTGATCTCTCTAACTTATGTTGGTTAGTGCAGAAAATCTGACAGTTGTGACTTTAAAATGAGATGCACGGATGTACCTATAATCAAATAACCATTTTCATACTAACAATGTCTAAAATAAAAACTACAGTAATTATGAACATTTAAGTCAGCAAAGAGGTCTCTTAGTAAATTCACTTTATATATATATATAATTACAATGTGTGAAAAATTATGGCCAACCTTACGGAATAAGAAAAAACGGTTCAGCGAAGGGTCGACTCTGCTAATTCATTCGTCTAGCTGTAGAATGACAACTATAATTTGATTGCACACTAGTAACCTGTGTTATGCGTCTAGTCCTTTCTTTGGTGCAGGCTTTTTTTACTTTGTCTGTCTGTTTTCGACATAGAACTCTGCACAAATGTGCGGCAGTTCAAGTCGCCTCACTCCATGTAGCACACGAAACAAGAGAAGAAAGTAAGTAACTTTGAATGGATTTTCTTCATATTTTGAGTGACCAATGTCAAATATATGTTCAATTATAACACTGCTCATTGATCCACTGGCAGCTTTTCGTAACCAGGCGAGATAATATTCTTTGACTCTTTTCGATACAGCATGCATCGAACGACCTACATATCTCGCTTCCCACGATCAAGTGAATGGGTATATGCGTGCACAAAATGGTCAAATGCGATAGTTTATCTTTAGAGTTATTGAGGAACGCTGGAAAGCAGGAGAATACCAATCTGGATGGGTAATTTTTGTAATCTTACGTAATCAAAAGCATTGACAACTAATTAGCTAAGTGAAGAACAACCGTTTGCATTTACCCAAATTAAACAAGAGAGCAAAGGGTTGAAAAAAATGTTGTAAACCATAAAATAACTATAAAGTTACAAAAATAGATCTCTTTACTGACCTAATAATTACATGACATGGGGATTTTTCAACTTAAGTAATTCAAAACAAAAGCGCTACATCGCAGTGAACAAAAACAAATTTTGCTTACTTTATGCACTGTAACGAATAGAGGTAGCATATCTTCATAAGAGTGTTCAGCTGAGGACTCCGAAGTCAACATTTTCTTCTTATTTTGAAAAACAGATATCAGTGAAGAATTCGATTGTCTACACATGCGTGTATTTTGTTTTTAGTTTTAAAGTGTTATTAGAAGAAAGAATGAACATACGTTGCATTGAGTAAAGCAGCCTTAATGACTAAAGATGATGCATCAAGCAGGTTTCCAGCACCTTCTAATATCTAGAAAAGGATAAAATTATAAATTATCAGACACTTACAAGTAAGTCAATGTACACAATCCAACATTGTCGACCACGTTGTATACACAATGAACTAAGATCAAGAAACTCTGATTGATAAACTGATTGTAATGTTGCTTTCAAGCGTTCGGCTAATTCAGATGCTATTTTATCATTGCAACGGTGAGTTGCTGTAGGATAACTGAAAAAGAAAAGAAATATGTTTTTTTTAATTTGTAAACTGAACAACAACTGCATATATCCAAGCCACTGAAGTCGGTGAATCCAGGAGACAACACTCAGTGAATGATGATCTCCAGTGTGTTCAAATACACGCTGCCAAACCTCAGAACTACTCACACGATAATACCACCAGTTCTACAGAAACAGCAATGATCGAATATGCAGTCGTCTCACATCTTCATTTTGGAGAGGCTAGGTCTCACAGGAATACAGCAAGAATGAGCGCCCTGAAACATTGTCAACTCGATCGTTGACAGCCAGACTGACGTCGCGACAGTGCCAGGAAAGATTAAAATTGGCGTATCCCACCCTAGCCTTCACTATATGGATGGAGATCTCGTCCACCACACCTCCATCAGCAGTTACCCAAACAACTAGATACACGAGCTTGTCGACAACTTTAAGCGGTCCACCTGCGATGATGAGGGCAGGTACTAGCTCCTGCCAATCTTCCAACAGTTATTTTGCACTCATACGCCCCAAAGCGTATACTATACTTACAGGCACTGGTCGCCAACTGATTAAGTGCGATTTGGACAGTCTGCATGTTATCGCACAATAAGACGATATGGTCTGCATACTCGAGGTCGAAAAGTCTTACTCCAGAAAGCAGATCTATACCACCACCACGTATATCCTTCAGGGCTGACCCCAGAATATCACCGATGACAAGGTCGAAGAGAAATTTAGAAATTGGGAACAGTGGTGATAGTTGGTTGCACGCCCGAACTTTACCTGAGGTGTTTCTGTAAAGGGAAGTTAATAAACTTCTCAGGCACAGCTTTCTCTAACAGACAAAATATGTAGAAGGTAAAAGAGAGATAAGAAGATACAATCGGTAGTACAGTGCTATACGAAGCAAACAAAATCAAGATGAGAAGTGCATCCGTGCAACTGACATCAATTCTGAGATATATCAAATTGAATCATAAGTCTCGGCGATCATAGGGACTACGGTTGACGCCAACAATGAGTTACTTTATGCTATATTTTGATCTAATCAAGTCTTGTCTTCCTCTAACCCAATCAATTTTACTTCTACTAACATAGCTGTCATCCATGGATCTAGAGGACAAAGAGGGTTTACTTAGGGGAGTTGAGAAACCCTGATCACACACTGATGATTAACATGGCTGCAGGAAATGAGAAGAACGTACGGTGTATGAACCTGCTCTAGGAGTGCACCTCATAATGTCGTTCTTTCTTCTAGATAAAACTTTAAATTAAAAAGCTGGAGAGTAGTCCTTTGAGACAATTATATGGTAAGGTTTCAGCCAACATACAAAATATTAAGCGACGATCTAGTGACAGCCTTGATACCATTCTTATGAAACTTGTGTTCTTACAATTTCAAGAATGAAATAGCTCAACATTCAACTTCTTATCACACTATACAGTTGTTCAGCTAAGCTGTTGTGCCATCAGCTACGAATGATGGGGTGCACACAAGGATGCCGCTCCCTCTGGATCGGTTTTCTGGGTCATAACGCCTTGTTGTACGTCAGACTTCTCCTGCGTTTTGATGGTCACGACGACCGTCACCTTAGACAAGTTGATCTAAGCAAGTCCGTTTCACCCACTATTGTAGCCAAATTTCATACACCAAGCTACACTTCAGGCCGGTTATTGACGCTACAGAAGTCACACGCGAACACCTCTTTCACTCACAAGATGCCATGATGACGGTTAAAGTAGCTGTGACCAAGGACAACATCCAATTAAGAGCTAAGTTTTTCGGGAATGTAAGGGAAGTCGAGAGTGATACATCCATGTATTCATCCTAAGAAAAAAGCCTACGTAATCCATGTGATAATTATTGGTTGTTACGTTCTTAACAATTATGTCAACAATACTGCATGAAAGGCCATGACCTATAGAGGTTCAAGACGCTATCAGTTATGTTTTGGAAACAAAATCAATGACAAACACACTGTGAATTCCCTTTTTCTTCTATTTCTGAAAGTAATATGCATTGCCGAATTCTATTTAGAATGCCCTTGGTATACATGTAAAACCGTTTTCATTCTGCTGTTCCTTACTTGTATTAATTCTCTTCTCATATTGTTCTGATTTGTGTGGTGCATCTCTAGATAACTATTATGTAGCAGGTTTGCTAGTTAGATAATATATAATACATTGGACTATCAGTAGGTTATGCGTAACACAAGTTCAAAACACTTCAGGCAAGGGATGTTTAACAGCAGCAATATCTAGAAAGAAAGCGACAGTCAAACAACAGATGCGTGGAGTTGTAAACACCTAAAAGGCAATCAAATATTGGCAACAGTCAAGAATAAACACCAGAGTCAAGTTGCTTTGGACCAACAAATCAGATCGCTCTGGACTAAAAATGTATGCTTTTCATAATCTTTGTTGCAAGCTTCATTCTAACCATAATATTCGGTGCAAATTTCACCCTTACCTTAATCATAACCTTAACTTAATCCCACCTTAAACTTAACCCTTAATCAGGATGAAAAGCACCCACTTGTAATGCTGAGCGATCTGATATGGCTGATTTAAGTTCGTTTGACTGTGGTGTCTATTCTTTACAGTTGCCCAAATTTGAGTCTGCATAGAAATAGTGTCACAGTTTAGTGAAATCTGGGCGAAGTTTTGTTTTGATGTCGTCATTCAGAGGCTCACTAGGACTGATACCATTTCCCAGGAATATGGGATGATTAAATGTTCACTCTAATCACCTCCAATAATAAGACAGGTTGTCAACGTAAGGCAAGCTTGAAAGAGCGGCTTACATTTACCAGATAGGAAGTGCATCTCATACTTTTTTGATTTGTCATTTAACTTCCAAACCACACATCTTTTCAGAACCGTTATGCAAAGGTTGTCTGCATATGCCAGGTAGTCTAAAGAACTCCCTGCGAAGTCATATGTGACTGTACAAATCTGTCTGTCTGTCTGGATTCAACATAGAACTTGGCACCGAAGTGCAGCAGTTTGAGTTACGACGCTCCAAATAGCACACAAAGGTAGACAAGAAGATGAGTGAAGAGAACCTAAAGACTTTGGCAGGTATAAGAGAGAAACAGAATGGGTAATGGTAGAAAGGAATATGAAAAGTTACAGAGACTGAATACATCTGCGCCACTGATAACGATTTTGGGCCATGTCACCTATTGTCTCCAGCCATTGATTCCTAGAGTCCCGAGGGCCCCAACCCGGGAGTCTGCATCTCCCTACCTGACTCAGTTTAACTGTCAAGGATTTCATGGATTGATGAGGCCATGTTTTTGTTTGGCCACCACTGGCTCTTTTCCAACCTGCACCTATATCAGCTAGCAAAGCCCGTCGGGGGAGGCGGTGGTTAGGCATGCGCAGCACGTGACCTAGCCATCTCAATCTATGTAACTTTATAGCCTCATCGATTTATTTCCCCTCTTTGCTCAACACTCCACGCCTAACGTCAGCATTATTTACCTCATTATACCACCTAACGTGAGAAAGAGATCGCAGATATCTATGATCGAAAGCAATCAACCTTTTCATGTCTTCAACTCGTATTGGCCATGTTTCAGAGCCATAGAGAAGGACGGAGCGAACTGATGAGCAGTACACACGTCCCTTGGTTGATAACCGGATGTCACGCCTACGCCAGAGATGGTGTAAGTCAGCGAAAGCAGCTCGAGCTTTTCGGATCCGTGCTGAGATTTCATCGCCAATCAGTCCGTTGGTGCTAATACAACTTCCCAAATAGGTGAAGTGGTCAACATGTTCTATCAATTCACTCCCTATCACTAAGTTAGGGATTGACGGGGTCCAGTCCTGTAGCAGCATCTTACATTTTGTAGGGGCGAATCGCATGCCAAACATACGAAGATTGCTGCTCAAGGTGTTCAGAAGACTCTGCATTTTGTCAGCATCCTCCCCTAACAGGACTATGTCATCTGCATATTCTAAGTCCATTAGATTATTCCCTGGTAACAAGTCGATTCCTAAGTCACTACGTTCAGTTAAGGATACTTCCATTAGCATTTCTATGATGAAGTTAAACAGAAATGGGGAAAGTGGACATCCCTGTCGGACACCACTGGTTGTTACCAATTCAGATGACAATTCCCCATAAGCCCTTACACGACTACGTGAGTTTGAATAGAGTGCCTTGATTAGTGCAATGTACTTTCTTGGCACTCCCTTCAGTCAGACATTGCTATAGTACCTTTCGATCCATGGAGTCGAAGGCCGCCTTCAAGTCAAGAAATATGGCAATTGTTGGACGCCGAAAAGTGTGTCTATGTTCTAGAATCTGTCGGAGAGTGAAGATACGATCTATGCACCCTCTACCTGGTCTAAAGCCTGCTTGATTTTCCCTCGTTTGTTCCTCCCGAGTTCTGCTTAGTCTATGCATGATTACTGAGCCTAGGATTTTAGAAACTATGTTCGTTAGGCACTGTAAAAATCACAATAAGCTCTTGTCATTAATGTGATAAGATGCCATATACAAGTCTGATTATCATGACAAATCATTCGTTGCCTTTTCAGTGATTCTGACAAGCAAAAAGGTGAGTTTTGTACAGAGAATGTATAACATAAGTTTAAATGAGATGTATTATTACATTTTGAACAACAAGAACTCAGGAATTGAGTGTAATTTTCAAAATAGAAAATATGAAGTTGACTTACCATTCAACATTAATTTCTATACGACCTTCATTTAGAGCAGTTAAAGATGGTTTACCAACTTCCGTTTTGACACAACACAAAATAAATGTTTCACCCTATAATTTAACGTAAATAAGCACACATTTTACTTACAATGCGAATACTCGCTGAGCCGTTCGCGTGACTTAAGATACTAGTCTCAATTTCTAAAGGTCGATATTCGCTTGGCCTGCGGCCGTCCATTCTACATCCCAACTAAAGTGAATTAGAAACCATTATTTGGTAAACTAACTTCAACTCCCTGTACGAGGTAGAAGCGTTCAAGATCACTTAGGAGGACAGTATCCATATTGTGTTACTTGGTTACAGATCCGATATAGTTATGCGTCACAAGATATCTCTAGAATAGAAACACCAATGACCTGATATGGAATTTGTATGGTCTGAGAAAGTTATTTAAAGTATTAATACAAACTTTAAGGAAAGCCATATTCTTCAAAGCAGTACTGAAGATAACCAAAAGAAAAATAACTTGCTGAAGAAACTCGACTTCAACTTTTCGTTTTGATTGCAGCTAGGACTTCCATATGCAGTATTTTCAATACTTTAACGACGAATCAGTATTCGAAAACTTCGCCTTTTTATTCTTATAGAACAACCCGGATATAGAGATTGAACAGATGGATTCGAGACATGCCAGAATCACGTGGTTTGTCAGTTTCCCCAATTTCAGTCAAAGTGAAACACTCACCACTGTATACATACTTATAATTAAGTAAGCATATTTCGATTTCAATTTTCCTATTTCAGATGAAGAGGTTTAGTCTGATTGGGATATGGAGACATTAAAGCGTAGAAGACACATGGTGTTCCTACGAAGCAACACACGCACAAGTTTGCGTATAGCTTAGGACGAAGTGCGGATGCTATGGTCACGAATTTAGGCGCACTGCAAGTAGACCAGATTCAGATTATAAGGATAGAAGGCTCTTGTTGCCTATGTTAATCTTTGATATATGTATATATGCACAGATCTATTTTCTCTTTGAAAGCGTTCACAGATGGAGCTGTTACAACTGAATCAGGTGAGGAGTTCCAATCGTTGACCACTCTGTGAGAGAATCTAAATTCCACAAGTATTTTGTTCGACTACGGTCTGAGCACCTTTCTTGTGGTGACCTCGAAAATATATCCTAGAGGGAGAGAAAAGGTTAAAAAGGCCAATCCCTAAATTACCTAAATTACGGTGCACCAAAATTAAGTCGCCTCTCCTCCTTCGATATGATAATGAGAAGAGATTTAAATCCTCCATCCTCTTATCATAGGGAAGGTGTGAGATACCACTAACTAATTTGGTTTCTAGCCTCTGTGCTCTTTCCAGGATATGTGCCTCCTTTTTGAAGCATGAACTCGCCGCTTCTATGCAGTATTCTGGATGAGGTCTGACATATTGCATAGAGTACTTGGAACATACCCTCGTCTAATCGTTTGAAAGCCCTTCGAAGTGCCCATAGCATTCGGTAAGCCTTACCTACGACTCCATTACAATTTGACGTTGTTTTTAAGTCATGGCCTACAGTAATTCCTAAGTCCTTTTGTCCCTTACCATCTGGCAGTTCTGCGTCCCCAGGGAGTATGACGTGTAAGACCTCTTAACTAGGTGTATTACGCATCGTGTACGCCGCACTAAAGAAATAAGACACACTACAAATACTGCGACAAATTCTAGTTGGTAAATCCTGCAAGAGCAAGTATTCGATTAGCTTCTCGGTGCATTTTGCGCAACGTTTCTGCGATGTGCCTAAACGCTTTACCAATTTGCTTTTGAAACACTAAACCATAATATGAGTAAGTCGAGCTATTTCGCACTTATGTTTGCCAGCGGAAATATTAAGTTCAATGAGAATAACGCGTTGAATACGAGGAAATCACACGGCCACGAATCCCGCTAAGTAGTACAAACGATTGCATTAATGCACTTTTCCCCTAAATAGAAACCGTTATTATTACATTTTCGAAGATGTGTACATTAACGAATTATCAAACTTATGGAATACACACAGTCAGCAGTTTACAATGCACAAGGGGAGAAAAACACAAGTTTATTTGTAAAATGCGTTATAACGTGTGCATTTGAAATTGTGGGACATTGAAGGTCCATCAATACCCAATATCATTTTCGTGAGCTATTGTGGATCAATTTTATATTTTGGTCTTCGCTTCTTGGTTGTTGGATAAAGGTTCACGATATTTGGCAAATCTCTGCATAGTTCGTCTTGCCACTGCACTGTCGTAACTTGTTGAATTCTAAAGGAGTGGTGCTGGGATTAATTATTTTCGATTTTTGATTGCAGCTTGTTTCCACACTGCATTTTTGGTACAAGTATGGAATTTTTAGCATGCGATATCGGTGGCCCAAATTTAGCAGGTCGACCATAGATGTCAGGTGTGCGTCGGCAGGGGGTCGAACCTCGGACCATGTCTATGGTCAGGGAGCGTCCCGAACAATGTGGTGTGTTGAGACTGTGTCGCTACTGTAAACACAGTTTATTCCTCCACCAGTTAGTCCTTCAGTGTCGTCGACAAAAGAAAACAGATAATAACAGATATAATTAGTGTAGGTTATTCAGACTATAAGACAGGAAAAGAAATTAAGAGGACGTAAAAACAGACAGTCAATGAAGTTTGAGATTCAAGCGTTGGTTTGTAGGGATTCGATTAGTTTACAGGGTTTCATCATGAGCTGACATTAGTTAGACGACCACTGGAAAACCTGGGAGATGGTCACTAGCGAATTGCCCTATTCAGGTAGGTAGTTACTTGGGGTTCTAGTGAGAAGTCGTGACCAGTAGGGTGCAGCTGGTTGGGTGTGGGGACAAGTACTCGCCGAAGACATTGAATAGGGGTCGCGCTATGTCGTGAATTGGCAGAAGTTAAAATTTATGGGCCATTGGATCGGGGCCCAGTGGCCTAATGTTATACGAGCTCGCCTTGTAACCAGAAGGTCTTGGGTTCGAATCCCTGTGGGGTGCGTACTGATGAAGAGTCCCAAACTAGGAGGAAACAGCTGTCGAGCATTCCCAGGTTTTCCAATCGTTCTCTAACTAATGTAAGCTCATGATGAAATCCTGCAAATATGAGATTGATATATATATATATATATATATATATATCATTAACCACTATAGTGTAAGGCGCTTAATGGTAATCAGAAGACCAAGACAAGGGAAAATATGAAGAAATAAACGAACGAGTTTAGGTGTATAATTGATAATGGTGCGTTAACCAGTATCCACTTTCTTTTCACCGCATTGTACTCGTCAATGTAGTTGAAGATTGAACGATCAATTCATGGTTGTTTGCTCAAACCCAACTTCCCTATATTTTCGCGGAGGCATCAATACACCAGTCATCGTCTCATCGGTCGCTGTTCAGAAAGCACTTGAAAAACCGTCAGAAGTAATATCGTGATTTATTATTGTAATATTTGTTCATAGACCTTAGTTATTATGCTGCTCATATGTTGGTGTTAGAATAAAGAATTCTCGAGTCGCCAATCGGTGTTTTGGTTTTTGCGTCCGTTAGTACTAGGCGTTTCTGGAAGGCTTCGAGGAACAGCGAGAGGCCCGGCGTAGCAAGAGCTGGGCATCAACGGCTTTGAGACGTGATTGACAGCACTAATCTTATAATCATTTTGCTTTAGTTTTTTTGACGTTTTTGGGAAATTTTTAATTTTGAGCAGAACCTATATCACTGACTGCTGAAGCCATGCTGAACGCAATGAAAGTGCCCATTGTTAATTTGACGTGGAATCCGTGATTCGTATCATAGCAGTAGTGTGGCTTGAAAGTGAGAATTTCGTTTTAGATTCAGATGATAAGGATGGAAGGCTCTTGTTGCCTATGTTAATCCTTGATATAGGTATATATGCAGAGATCCATTTTCTCTTTGAAAGGAGGGAGGGTGGTGCTAGCTGATCAGTAGATATGGTGGTGGTCACTAAGGTGAATCGCCCCATTCTGCAGGAACAGTAACACGCAGTTTGACGGCTCGAGATATTTCTGATTTTTATGAGGGCTTAAATCTTTATCTTGAAAAAGATAATGATGAACGCCTTGATAGATCATGCTTCTGCCCTCAAATATATACCATTCGCCCAGCCTATTGTTGAGATGCGACCATGTGGGATCTGCACAGATTTATGGGGTATCTTATAAATTGACTCGCTATCCATTGTCAGATCTTTACATACCACTTCACAATGTCATATCTCATTCATTTTCTAATAACGTCTTTACTTGCTGCTCATTATACTTCATTAAACCTAACATTTTATAGCCCTTTATGACTTATTCTATTCCTATTCTCTGAAGGGTGCGGTTGTGCACCAAATGCACAAAAAAGTATAAAATAAAAACAACTGGCATGAGGATAAATGTATTAAAACCAAAAGTGGACATCATGATAGTACGAGCTATGTGCGTAGCATTATACATTGTAAATGAACGTTGTCAGCCTAGGGAGTTTCCTTTATTAATGCATTTATTAATGATACCTGCACTTACCTATTTCATTACACTTTATTGATTCACCTTAGCACTCTTACTTTTCTAAAACAGATTTCAATCCCATGTAAGAGTTGTACTTACCTTAATATGCCTACAACCACGGCATGAAAACGAAACGGAGTCAATTTTCCCGCTCAACCTGGAGGACAACTGTACAATTCAACAACTATACGGCCTAGTTCAGACAATGAGTGTATTATACGTATCAAATATTTAACAGTTGAAATATTATTAACTTGTAGACAATCTGAGATTTGAGACTATATCTCACTTGATCGTGCCTGTAAAAAAGGCATGCATTTTCATGTAAATTCGTAAATTTATATGAAATAAATACATTATTATTATATAATAATAATAGTATATTCTCATTTTGTACATGAGGGACGCCAGTTTACAGGCATCATCAGTCTGATAAATTACATATACGATTAGCAATCATACTTAATAATAATGTTTTAATAAAATACACATTTTTTCCTACCTGTGTGGAACACATCAAATGTACAGGCATGGATAAGCATTATTTAAATTTCATAAATTTGGTTTATAGTTAAATCACATGGTTGCTGACGTTTCTGTCTTTGGTTTGTGGGAACAATATGATAACCAGTTATTCAATGGAGCACATCATGAAATATAGGAATATTGTCTTCGCATTAACAAAATAACCCAAGTAAGTTTTGGGTGGATCACAAATACTTTGGAAAAAATAAAGCTTGAAGTAATTTGATTTATATCCAAATTGGGTAATAAGAAAGAATCGTGACGTTGTATTACAAATTGATACCTTTCCATTGGTATAAGAGTATATTCCACAAATGTAACCCGGGTTGCGTCGTGGGGAAAGTTAATTCGTTATTAGCTAGGCAAATGAAAGATACGGGACCAATAATGTTTGCAGATCATTTGTCATTGTAAATGGTCAAACATCCCCATTATTCATTCTCATTCAAAAAGTCCAATGGAAGCTAAAATGGTGAGAGAAAAAAGAAGACAAACAACAGCAAAGCAAAAGAAAGCAAGAGGAGTCCTTAAGGAGTGATTAATAAATATATACTTATATATTCTGTCTAGTAACTATGGTTATTTTTGTTCATTAACTAACTAGTCCCGTTATGCTAACTTTCAAATTATGTGTGAACCAATATTACTGTCCTGTGTAGAAATGTTTATCATCTAGTTCCAATAATATTAAAATTTACAATTGTAGTTTGTTGTAAATACACGTTTAAAGAACTTAAAATATCTATGTAGGGTGAAAAAGAGGGTGTAAGAGTCAGGCGCAAAAGTGCATTGTCATCTTTGAGCAGTCTGGTGACTGAGGAGATGAACACTGGAAGTGTGTTTGCATCGCGCACATTAGCTGGTAGTCTATTCCAAATGACTGAAAACTTATTTAAGAAGAAGTTGTACCGCACGTAAGTCTGACAGTGCTCTATAGCAGCCAGGTTGTGATGATTTCTAAGATTGTAACTGTCGACAGCGGTAGGTTTAGTTATTGGCTCGGAGGAATGCAAGAGAAGATTAGTTAGCTTATAGCAAAAGATAAGGTTTAGCTTAAGGCGTCTTTTCCAGAGGGGTTCTAATCTTAGTCTTTCGCATCGCTCATGGTATTCCAGACCACTTTCTAAACCAAGAGTTCTTGAGGTAAACTGCCGTTGCACTCCCTCTAATTTAAGCTTGTCATTTTGTCTGAGTCCGCTAAGAATAAACGGGCAGTATTCTAAGATAGGTCGGACACATACTTTGTATAATAAAACACTAGTTTCACAACAAAAGAAATTGCGTGTTACGCATCCTATCAGCCTTCGCGTTTTACGTCTGGCATAATCAGTCTGTTCAGCGAACGTTAGGTTACTAGAGTATCTAATACCGAGATCTACGACTGAGTTGAGCTTAGCTAGTTTTCGCCCATTTATTTCAAGAGTTAGATCAAGGTTACTGTTTCCGATACAAGTCCAGCCGCATTTGTCAATGTTAAAGTTTAGACAGGATTCAGCACACCATGTTGAGAGACTACTTAGTTCAAGATGTATTTTAGTGACCATATCGCTTAACTCATGAGTGTAGCAGGAGTAGACGACTTTGAGGTCGTCAGCATATAGGAATGGTTTACCTGAGGTGAAGCACTTGCAAATGCTGTTAATTTAGACTGTGAGTCAATGCCTGTAGTTATATACGCATAGCCTATCCCCCTCTTTGAAGGGTTTATATTGGCATCCTTCCAGTCCCTGAGTAGCTTAGCCTCCGCCAGAGACATTTTGAAAATCTCTGCGAGCGGAATATATATTATATCTGCCAAGGAAATGAACAGTTTATGTTGAAGTCCATCCGGCCCAGGTGATTTACCTGGCTCCACTTTAGGCAGTATTTTGAGAACCTTTGTATGCTCTGCCACGATTGAGGGCATCTGAGTGGCGATGGAAGTGACCTCGCCATATCTCTGGGTGGTACTATCAGACGAGAAGACATCACAGATTTATTCGGAGAGGTTTTCAGGCTTTCCTTCGTCTGACTCAGCCGCTTCTCCACTAATGGTTATGAGTGACTGTACACCAGTGCTAGTTTTAGTCCTACGTCTAATATACGAGTATAGCCTTTTTGAGTAATGAACCTAATCTAGTACTAGCCGTCTCTCGTACTCTATACGACTCTTGTTAATCGCACACTTACAGAGATTTCGAATTTTGCGGTAGTCTGTCTGGAAATTTTCCCTTCCCGTCATAATAAATTGGTCCCATAAGCTCTTTCG